GCGGCTAGGGTTGAGGTGTGATGCACATACTGGGTCTCCGAGGGATAGTTCCTGGATGATTATATCATTGACTCTTCACGACTAGCAACCAGATATAATGGTGTCAGGCAGTTTTGTTACTAGCTCCCGAATATATACAGTCTACCCGTCTAGACGTTTGCTCGGCTGCAACAAGCTGCTGTATTCTGCTCATTGTCGCTGGAACCTCGCTGGAACTTCTGTTTGGTCGAGGCACTGGAGAAAGACCTTGTGTTCAGAGAGATAAAAATATATGACGTTCCCCTTTCAATGACTGTTAAAGATCATTATTGTTGTTCTCATACATGTAGTGGTTCTTTACCACACTTGCTTATTTCAGGTCGAAGCGGATACTCCCAGACCTTGGCAGCGCTTAAAGAATCCCCGAAGCAACTCCTGAGGAACCAAAAGCGATGAAAGGTCGTCCAACACCAGAAAGGTAGATATACTTTGAAACCCCCATGACAATATCAACGCTTACGGAACTCCCTTTGAATGGCGCTTTTATTCTTTAATTGCGATAGCGTGGTTGATTCCAACTGCAACCTTCCCCACATGTTTGACCCTCCAGTGATGCGGAAATAGTATCCGCACGTAAACCGAACTCAATCTCACGTCTCACCACATCTTCCACCGTCACTCACCTACCAAAGACACCAACTTATGACAAGGCACGATAACAGACAGCTACAATTATCAATTATTCCTACGCATGTTTTCTGGTGTCCAATAAGGCTTGGACGGCGCTCAATGCAAATCTCATCTGCAGGAACAGCCAGGAGAGGCTGGGCTCTCTGCCGTTGAAGAATGTATACGGTGCCCCAATATAATACCAGTTATTACTAGCATACTCTAGTCTAGTTAGTAATAATCAGATGTAAACATTAAGGATATAGACGATCATAACGTTTATTATGTATCAAGAGCAAACTACTATTACTGACTAGTTTCTCTAATGAATGTTTACTGGTAACAACCAAGTCCCTTCCTGGCCTAAACTTAAAGTGAAGAATGCGTATTGCTTAACGGCCTTGGCAACCCATCCCTCCGCTCAATTACCAGCAGCACCAATAACTGGCATTGGAGCTTGATTGGTCTTCTAATATATCGTCCTCACAACGATTTGTTTTCCTCCTTCGAAGATACTATAATATTTTCTTGTATATATCTTTTTTCTAAAATATTAACTTCTCCTGGTCGGAAAGTGCTCATTAAGTAGTTGTCATCAGAACTTATATACGATTCGAACATAGACACAAGCTTATGTAGGCAAATTTCAAGACAATACGCACATTCGTACAGGCGGTGCAATTGACAATCCGTCAAAACAGTTATTTGTAGCCAATTTTCAAGCGCTCAAGTTCGACTCGAAGCGAGAGTTTGAGTTTGAGACAGCAATCTCGATACGCCCTAATGTCCTACATCTTCACGTTCTCACCGTCGGCTGTAGCCATTGAATGATTCCAATATTCTACGATATTTGAGCGTTGAGTTGCCGCACGAGCGACTGCTACTATGGAGATGAATATTCTCACCGGGTTTTCGGCTTTGACCTAATGAATTCATGGCTGTGTCTCAGAAGTCTCGTGTAATTGGCTTTTAGGTAAGTCGGCCCCCAAGTCATCAGATTTAGGGGTTACAGCCTCGATCCCATCTTTGGTTGTCCTGCGTTGTGGAATGACCCGTGTGATCCTTCTCTGCACGCCCTCCACTACGCTGGATCAAGCTTCAGCCACTAAAGCACTGAAGACATGTATGTCTCTCTTAAGTGGCCCGTAGGGCGTAAGATCAACCCACTGTACCCGCTTCCTCTAAATTTTTGGCCCCTTTTGGCCCTTTTGGCCCCTTTGGCCCCCAACATCCTCGCTAAGCATTGCCGATACCCCAAACAACCCGGGGCAATAGGCCATCCTCCAGCAGCACTCTAGATCGGTGGTACCATCAAACTCATGTATTATGACGCTCGGTTCGAAAGAGGGAGAATGAAGAAACCTCTATAAATCGCGACACAGCCTCTCTGTATTGCCCTCAGGATCCGTTGTCCCCAGTCATCCAAGAAACTGTTTCATTCTAAGCCATTCTACTACGACTTCCCTCACTTGTCCGAACCTACAAGAAATACAACCGCAACAATGAAGACAACCCAGCTCATTTCATCCCTCCTCCTCTCCCTCGTCCCCACCCTCACCCTCGCCGATGGTGTTCCCTCGGGCGCCGAGCTCTGCGTAGGCCAAGGTGCCGGCAGCTGCCAATTCGCTGCATACCAGCTCCAACCTACCGACACGTGCGAAGACCTTCAAAAGAACGCCGCCTATATCTACGACCACGAATGCAACCTCATCGGCCACACGGAGAACTTCGTGGAAGGAGACGCCATTGACTCGCAGCTGCCGTATACTGTCGATATCAAGAACATTGTTGGCGGTCCCTCATGTGCGATCAAGTACGAGATTGCCTACAGTGATGGGTTGTACGGATATGGAATGCCCTCTGGTGGTGTTTGGGGCAGCTGTTCTGAGAGTGGCCACCAGTGCAACTGGTACCGGGTGGCGTTTGATTGCCCTGGATTCTAGAGGAATTTGGGTTTGATATGGGGTGGGATGGAGTCAGTCTGCCTAGTCTGGACTGGTCAATATTCTCGTTTAGTTTGTATATATTGTCGAGGAAATACCAGTAGTTGTGGGAGCCACTGCTTATATTAGCGTCGGCTAGAGTAATCGTCCGTCAATAACCAACGGAAGATCCTACAATAGACCGATTTCTTTCCGGAATGACACCTCCTACCAGCGACTCTATGATGTCTCATTTCTTTTCATATGATTGATGCTCTTTCATGGTGCCAGTAAAAATATCACATGACCTTGAGATAGGCACGTGTTGCTGGGTTCCCCGCTCATATTCAATACGTCCTTCTCTTTATTTCAACATCACCTTCATCGACTCCTACACTACTCTCACAATGTGGGAGCCAGTAGCTCTCCCCTTCCAGAGCCCCCACTCTTCTTTCACTGCTCTACCTACAATAGCCAAAATCCGCACTTCACCAATGTTCTGTTGGAGGCAATGGGCTCTAAGGTTGGTGAAGTGTGCTGGTATGTTTAGAATGAGAGGAACAATTTCTAGAGCACGTGGAAAAGAAGAAAACAAAGAAAGGCGAAAGATTTATCAGATATGCAAAGGCTCTTCGCTTGGTTTGGAATCATCCAATATCGGGTTTAATTATCATACTGGACGCGACAGATCGGTTCGGTGCCAAACAGCCGTCTTTACACATATAAATACTTCATTCATAAACCTCTGTGACCTCTAATCCCGATGCCCCTTCTGATTCATCCATGACTCAATCGACTTTGAGAGTCGTTCAATACGCGGTTCTAAAACCCGAACATACAAATCCGCCATTGCAATAACTCCCGGCCCTAGCACCATCCAAGTCAAAGCAAAGACCAGGACTAGAGCACGCATATTCTCATCTTCCTCATGAGGAGCAGGCCAGGCGCGTCGCTGGATCAACCACCATATGCGGCTTCGCAATGCCCAGCTCCACATTTGATACACTGAGAGGTGGATTAAGTACATGGGAAACGATATTCGGCCCAGATACTGAGGAAAGCGGGTAGTAAGCACACGCTGCAAACGAGGACTCTCCATCACCACGGAAAAGAAGCACACGGCGCCGATACTGTGCCAATTCTTTCGGACATCTGTCCACCCAGCGTACTGCGACCAATGGCGTGTTTGTAGCTTTGAGAGGATGCGGTAATCTGGCGGATAGTCGTCTTCTGAAGATAGGCACATGAGATATAGTGCAACAGCGGAACGAAGTATGTAAGAGGCTGTCCAGCGGGTTATTATGGGTGATTGTCTGGTGAAAGTCCGGAGCTCGGCCAGAATGAGTCCGAAGATGAAGCAGAGGATATACCATTGCCCATACCAGAGCAGATAGGCGAGCATGAAACTTAGACAGGTGATTCGTGCTCGGGGTCGCCACGTGGATTGCATAAAGATTATGAAATATATGATATAAGAGCCGCGTAGCTCGAGCGGTATCGTCCATAGATGTCCGTTGATTTGAATATTCCACTGGAGTTGGATGATATTCAACATGTCCATGATATGCTCGAAGAGGTAGCACATATGGTTCCAAGGAGACTTCCAGGGCGTTATACGGGCTGAGACCTTTTTCTGGACCCAGTCCTCGTACATGCCTAGGTAGAAGAACAATTGATTGCAGCTGGCTAGAAGTATTAGTGGCAGGTAGAGACGGAGCGGCCGGCGTAAGATGGAAGATCGAAGACGTTCAAAGAGCTTGTTTGGCCGGCTGTCTCTAAGCTGGAGAAGCCGACTGGAAATGGCATAGCCTGAAGTTACCATGAAGAGAGGAACCATGGCGTCCATGGCCCAGAGGAAACGGATCGGGGGTAGCTGGATCAATCTTCGGTTCTCCTCAGCTGGTTCGGCCCAAAATGTCCGGAAGGGCATTTTTATCTCTCCACAAAAGAAATGGTCGACGGCCACTATAGTGGCAGCGATGCCTCGCAGACCATCTATCCATTGTATTCGGTCCATTATCTAGAGTGTAGTGATACTATCATGCCCTGGGAATTAGGTCGTAACGTACGCCCAATGATTGAACGATCAACCATGGCCAGATGTTTAAGTATAGTTTTCGGATCAAAAACACTGGGCAAATCAGCCCAAGTAGGAATCAGAAGTGGCTTAACTCGAAGCTATAGTATGATGCATATACTTGGCGTTCTGCTGCGGCACTCAGTCACTTTCGGATGCCTCTGAAAAACTCACCGCTTTTTGTTCATGTTATCATAGTAAGAAATGTTCCTGATAATTCCGTTAAGCCCGCTAGTGTGACCCTAGTCATGCAGGTCACTCACCGCTGAACAACTAATCATCCCGATTGATACATATAACGCCACCTACTCATCGTAGTCTTACTTCTAGTCTATTCCACACTCTACCTTGCTCTAAATTTATAAAATATGCAGTATATGCCTCCCTACTGAAGTCTATATAAGTCACTCATCATTCAGGAGTCGATACCAGACCCACACATCAAAGGGACATCATCTTCGCAGCGTACAATTTATAACATGATCATCCCAACAAACCCACCAGCTATGTGTCTCCTTACTTCCCTCCGGTTCCACAGCCGCGCAGAAGGTATACATTTCCATACAGGTCCGCATCTTTACCGGAAGACCCAGTGTCGAACACATAGCTCTCGATTCAATGCTTCCGGCACCTTCACCCCATATGCCGGCTAAGTTTTATTGATCACGGTAAATCCCTTTGCGGGGGACATCATTGTCGAAAAAAGAGCCATAATATGCACGATATGCACTACTGGCCACAAAAGCAATGTCGCGACAACATGATAGAGCATGGATGTCCACGGCAACCCTATCACGCTGAAATCTTGCAGCAGGCAAGCCGACACAATCGCGTGAATGCCTGCTGCATCGTTGAACATCATAAATTCTCGGTACCAGGCGGGGACAGCGATCCTCTGTCCAAAAACGCCAATGAAAGGGCTGAATGTTGGTCAGACTTCGTACATGCCTATATCTTAATGGTAGTGAGACTTACAAGATCAGACTTCCTATCCCGCCCAAAGCCCCTGCAAGCAGAGCAGCGCGCACAAGGATCCTATCAAAGGATCCTATTCCGGTATACCAGCGTCTTCTTTGCTTCCAGAGGTCTGTGAATGTACACGGTGGCTGTTCACGCACTATGGCATGAAGCCAGTCAAATTTGAAGCCTTGCGCTGCGGCCTGGAAAGGCAACCGGTGCTATTAGTAGATGTTCTCGATGACTTGTCCTGAATAGGTGAATAGTCAACTTACATGATACGCAAACCAGTAGTCTTCACACACATTTTCCGTATCCCAGGTAACTTTATTCTCAACTGCTCCATTGATCAAGATCCATGACCCATGGACCCAGCCTAAGAAGGGGCGGCGAAATACCCGCACGGGCAGTTGAAACCGGCCATAGTCCTCACTCACTCGCATTACCTCTGCTGCAGATGTAAATGCCTTGTCCCAATGGCCGGTTGAGGTATAATAGATTGTGCCCTGGAAACACGGTTAGGGGAAATCCACCATGCCTTGATAGCAAAAGAGTTCCATACCATGCCATAGTCTGCCGTGCCCTTCTCAATGAAGTCCAGTGACGTGCGCATAACACGTTCATCTATCTCCGATTCCTCATCTAGATGTAATATCCAATCTTCTTTGGAGAAGTTGTATTTCTGGCGAAAGAACTCTAACGCCCTGGCCTTGAACTTAGCCCTCTTTGCAGAGAACGCCCCTGGCACTTCATCGATTGTAATGTATGATGGCAGCTCTCTTCGAAAGTGTTCATTATCGGCACTGTCAAGGACGACATGGAACCGAACTGATGGGTGGCTTCGCTGGGTCAGAACATCCCAGCAGCGAGTCGAGTTCAATACTGTTTGCACATTCGTCCCCTTTGTCACAAGACAGACATGCAGTGTGCCTAGACGTCGTATCTTAGGGCGGTTGGCATACTTGTTTGGTCTGATGGGTAGGCACAGGCCGAGAGTGTTTCCAAATGGCGGCATCTGTAAGAGAAGGATGGCTCCATATAGGACCAAATGCTTGATTGCTGAACTGTTCCAGCCATCGTCGGACACCTTGACCCAGTAGCCGATGGCATTGACGAATTCTCTGTAAGCTGCGTAAAGTATGTCAGCAAGCCACTCGTCAATTTAGTGATGGGGAACAATATGCGTACAATAAAACACGAGAGCAAGAGTAATTGGGAAGGCGATGTAATTGTACTCGAGAATAGCATATACGCGGTTAGAATGTCTCCATTGTGGGTTGAGTGCTTTCTTGAAATCGCCGACAACCGCCATCTTGGATACAAGAACAGAGGTGCCCCAGATCATAAATTCTTCGCGTTTATTCAAAACAATACCGGGCTCGTAGTGTTATTAAATAGTTACAATACCAGGTAAGTAGAGTCGAAATTTTGACTCCGATCTGATGCATAAAATGTGACACATCTTGTCGAGATACTTCATGCGTCTGAACTAGTCTATTCCACTGCATATCATTGAATGAGCACATCGGGTACACAAGATCTGCTGCAGCAACACATCTGCAGCTAGAGCCAATGGATAACTGGTCGCCTTCTTCGCGCTCTAGCAATAGATAATCGTGTCCTCATTTCCTGCACCCTCTTGCTGACTATTGAACCATAAATCAGATGGAGGCTTTTGTTGATTGTAAAGCGGTTATCAAACACAATGTGGACCAGGCGCGGCAACCATTTCCAGCTACCATCGCTGAAATAGAACCCCACTAAGCACACTGGAGTTTGGACATACACAACGCGGGGAAACCTCCGGAGCAGGATTTCAAGCCTATTCATGTAGAAGGTATTGAAGAATAGCGGGACTTACCAACAATTCTAGCAAGAGTGAACAGAGAGAAAGTCCCCATTGACTCTGCTGCTGCATATCAGCCAGCCCCTTGCTTCCCTTTCATACTTTTCACCTATTGTCTCCTATTGGTTCCCAAATCAAGCACATTGTACGGATAAACCCTTCCGGGTAGAATGTCCCGCAGTCATGACACTGTCTCTGGTGCTCTTCTTGACCACTGCCGGTGTTCTCGGAGGTACATCCTCCTTATGTATGGGAATGCGTCACATTAGTTTCGTTTTAGCATTTCCTACGAAGACCGGTGGGGTTGTGAACCGTAATGGTCAGTCGGTTCACGAGGCGGAATATAGAAACATCAGGTCTCTGATATACGACAACAATGCTCACTGATAGCCAAGCATAAACCTCAAACTTGAATATCGCGGCTGCTCTTTTCTTGATATCGTGCGACATCGGAATTTCTAGGTGTGTCTTCGCGCGGCTGTGCGTTCAAGACAGGTCGGACTGAAATCTCGGCACGATCAACTAGGTATTGTATTCAGTACATGCATGAGTTGATATTCATATCGAAAATATTGTGAGATAAAAAAAACAGATTGTGAGGAATACATATTAAATATGTATAAAAACATACAACAGAAGGGATTCGCTGGTGGTCACCCACCCAACTACTAACCTCCCGGCGTGTGGCTTAAGTACGGCTGAGCGGACGGGAAGCCCTGTTTTCCACACCCTGTGGTCGTATGTATCAGTTCTCTTGCTGACCACAATCATATAGTGCGTTTTTTCCTCGCTTAATTGCGAAAAGGGAATGATTGCATTCCAACTTCAATGCCAGAACCTTTAAGATGTTGTGGCACGTGATCAAGCATATTTACGGAGGACAACGACATTACGTCAGCCACGATAGGGTTATGGTTCATCAACAACTTTGTTAGGTCGATAGTTCTATTGTATATAATTTGTCTTCATAGTGGGCTCAATCTGGGTTTACCGTAGTATATGGTTATTTATAGCAGTATGTGCAAGGGTCTATGATTTCGCACTACTAGCAGTTGGTTCGAGACTCGAGAGCTGGAATCAGCCAGTACTATGCTACCAAGTATAGTGTTGAGATGCCGTGGATATATATAGCAGATGCAGCTCAAGATCATAATCAGGAGTCTGCGACTGATGAAGTAATAGCACGACGGAATTCGGGGCTAGGTGGTATAGAGTACTCTGTACAAGCTCTTTTGGTTCTGGTAAAGGTTACAGCATCACAAAGAGGAAAGTTAATAGTACGATGTGAATGTCTTCTTCCCACAGTATAATATTCAATTACTTAGTACGAACGCCCTCTACTGATATATTGAACATATAGCTGGAAAACAATCAAAAATGACATTCCAATCTGGTATCTACAAATCTGTCTGTATATAGGCATATATACTGGTATCTATTTTTACTCCTCGCTAGGCTTAACATCATACTCCACGTCCGTCCGAATGATATACTTTGCTCCCTTCCTCACTCCCGTGCCCTCATGCAATAATGCCCCGTTCGCCTCTCCGTGTGGGAAAATGGCAACGGCTCCCATGACAGGGCGCACGGGGTATGCATTTAGCGTCCCTTCCCTCGCGGCCGGCATGAAAAAAGTTGTCTCACCGCCCTCGAACTCATCATTGAGATAGAGGAGGAAGGTATACATGGAGCTCTGCTTCTTATCCTCCGGCGAGGCATCATACACATATGTATCATCGGGAAGGATACCCGACGGCGGCCAAGCGCCGTCAATGTGACACCGGTATTCGGCACCAGGGACGTATCGGTATACCCGGAAACGACGGTTGATACCGCGAACGAGACGACCGTTGATAGATTGCGGGACATACTTGGATATACGTGCCCAAAGCATGTCGTGAAAGGTGGTGTCGATCACCCAGTAGAAGTTGTGGGCGAGGATGCTCATGTCGCCGTCTTCGCGCATGGGGACGTCGGGCAGGAAGTTAACGGATTCGCCGGCAGCGATAATGGCTTTGCATTCTGACGGGGTGAGGACGTTCAAGGCCAGTCCGAGGCCTGGGACTGCGGGGTGGGGATGGTATGTGATCGACGGGCTAACGGGGTCCAGCGGGACGGCGTTGGGAAGGGTAGTATAGAGGATAGCGGGGTGATGGTTCGGAGGTTTGCGGAGGGGGCCAGGCGTCGTTTCGATGATACGAATGGCAGCGGGGTCTTTCGGAGCTTCATTCAAGATCGATTTATCGAGAACGGAGGCATATACTTGGAGGGGTGTGGTATTGGGACGCAGGTCCCAGATAGACTGGAAGGCGATGGGATCCGTAGAGTCGACTGCATTCGATCTGAGATCGATGGGAGTGCTGACACGTAGGATGGCATCCAGAACGCCGAGGAGTTCCAGGTCCTGAGGGGTGCGCTCAAGGGAGGCCTTCTCGCGGGCTTCGGGTTGGGTGGAGAGGCCGCTGACGACGTCGAGATCTCGTACCCAGCGACACAAGGCTCCGATTTTGGGTTGTTCACCCCGGATTCTCATCTCGGCAAGCAGGATCTTTGCTTCCAGGTATCGTTTGTCGGCCAGGGCGCCGGTAATTCGTGCGGTCAGGTTCGCGCCCTCTACCGAACGGTTAATTGCCACTATTAATTAGAGACAGTGTAACAGCAGCATACCGGCATTGTTAACGCCCGTCGTACAGGCCTGGCGGAACTCGTAGACCGCCACCCGGAGATCCTTGCATGCTTTCGATTTGGTCAGACTGGGGTACTGAGTCAAGGTCGTGAGCGTCTCAACGGTAATTTCGAGGTCCTCGTCGGGGACGACGGTGCTGAGGTTTTTCGGCTCTCGACTGGCGCCATCGGGAGGGGGAGTGAGGACCGTGGATGCAGCCTTGGGGACCTTTTGCGGGAGATCGGCTTGGGTGTTGCGCTTGCGCTTGGCAGCTTTTGACTTGGCCATCGTTATCGGTGATGCTGATGGCCAGCTGGGGGAACAATGGCTGCTGATAGCTGACGGATAACCGGTGGGGATGCGGATTTCCCACAACTATTTTTGCGGCAAGTCGAGAACCCGATTATTAAGCCTGGCCGACCCGCCGTGAATTCTGGCACTGGCACTGGCATTGGCACTACTAATGACATGCAGGAAGTGGGCAATCCAGCAAGAATTACAGTTATATCCAGGGCTTTCGGAGACGACCAGAAGGGATAGGCTACTGTGAAAAAAACAAGGGGCATCACCGCTCTACAGTCACGAGTGCTATGGTTTCAGAACTGGGGTTGATTCACAATGCCAGGAAGTGTTGCCTGGCGAAAAGGTCTGGACGACACCTTCTATCCCAATGTCTATTCCTGAAATAGAGAAAGCACCGTGCTCTGCTGCTCCGTCCGGGATATAAGGTAGTCCCCGGAAACGGTCGCAGCAGCCAGTCCACCGGATAGAACACGCAAAGTCTCTGGGGGGTGCCGAATTCAAGTAGGTAGAGGAAATTGAATTTTTCGTTTTTCATTCATCAGAATACATCATGTTTTATAGATATATCCCGACTGTAGGCAAGATCCCATATTGTTCGCGTCTTCCGGAACTCCCGCGTTATCACTGCCATTTGCCAGATATGAACTAAACCTCACAAAAATCCCCCGATTTAAGCGGACTTGGCCTTAACGGCCTCACGACCCTTGCCAACACGCTCAAGGATGGCCTCACGGTCCTTGTCGAGGTGGAGCTTCTTGATGACGACCTTGGAGGGGTGGAGGGGGATGGGGACGCTCTGGCCGTTGCTCTTGTCGCGGCTGATGCGCTCGACGTGGATGGCCCACTTCAGGCGGTAGACGCTGGTGACCTTGCCCTCACGGCCCTTGTTGCTGCCACGGACGACCATGACCTTATTCACAGTTTAGCGAGTGGATTAGATGTCGGGTTAGAATCAGCCTTGGCTCACCTCGTCGTCCTTGCGGATGGGCATGGAGCGGACCTATCAAACGACTTGCGTTAGAACCATTTCTCCCAGCGTTGTTTCGTCATGCCTGATATCTCGGATTGGATGCTTGTCGATTGGATCTGGTTGTTGTATCTTCCTGCCAAATCCCCAACTCGCTGGCCTGATCCAGCTTGTCCCCGACCGGAAAGAAAGAGACCATGCCAAAACCATCTCCGCACACACACAAAATCCCAGGGGCTGCAAAAAAACAGGAATCACATCGGTCTGATCGAACGTACATTGTACTTGGCGCGGAGCTCGCTCGAGAGAGGAGCAGAGAGGATAACGCGGCGCTCGCTGGAGGGGGCGTTGAAGTGGGCGGCGCGCGACTTGCGGCGAGAAGAGGCGAGACCTGAAATCATCACGAAGTTCAAATTAGTATGGATGGGATTGGCGAGATCGAGAAAAATCGACAGAACAGGACGACGCACTGGAGTTCCTGACAGCCATTGTGAATATGCCACCTAAAGGTCGTGGGAGAACTCGGACGGGTGTCGTGAGGGTCGTCGGAAAGGTCGTCAGGAAGAGTCTTACTGCTTTGCTGGATCTGTTTCGTTTGTGGCCGAAAATTCGGGCTGTGCGTCACATGACCCCCCGCTTCGCCTAGCGGCCAGGTTCAGCGTTGTGATTGGCTAGTGTGGGTTTCCGCCCGCAGCCATCCTCGATGCTGACTGGAGCCCGGCTCGATTGCTCCTTAATTCAGAGGGTACAGTAGGAGTAGTAGTAGTAAGTAGTATTGATTATTGCAGATGGTACTAGTACTGAGATAATTGATGGAACGGCTAAGATTAGTTACTATCTATACCACACTTTACATGGATTATAGTAT